CCTTTTTTGTTAATTTTTCTTCCAAATGTGTTATTGTGTGGAGTGAGTCACAGAGATTGCGTTTTCTTTATTTATTTTGGTTTCTCTTGCTCTCTTTTAAGTTTTCTTCCTCTCCCAAATTTGCTTTTTAGAGACAGAGAGAGGGTTTGTAGAGGAACCTTAGTGGCAGACTGGTAAATATTTAACAAGAGAGAGGGCAAAGAACTAATCAGAACCCAACAAAACATTAATGCCAGTCCAACTTTTTCAAAATACGTGGGAAACAATTCGAAAACGGAAACCTCTTGTACCCTGAGAAGGTTAAGACTGAGGTGTGGATGGGATCATGATGACTTTTACAAATGACTTTGGGTTGAAACGATGCCGTTTTAAATGATAAAATATCAAAAAAAACGATGCATTTGCGTCTGCCGGGAGTCGAACCCGGGTCTATTGCTTGGAAGGCAATTATCCTAACCGTTGGACTACAGACGCTTGATGTTCTAATTCATGCTTTATTATTTATACCGATGTATAATGTTGTTTTGCTTCCATTTGATTTCTCTATTGTTTCAACATTTTCCACACAAATTAAACTAAACATGCGATTTTTGAAAATTTCTTCTATTTCATAATTTGGACTAGGGTTAATATAGATATTGAAAATTTGAAACGATATTTGTTTGAAACAAAAAAATATAGATATCTTTTTTTTGGTCACAAAAACAAAAAATATATATCTAAAACATTATTATTTATATTGAAACGGAAAGAATTATTTCCTCTGAGTTTTTGAGTGAGGGAAGACTGTTGCAAGAAGCAATAAACAATTTAGTTTGAGGGAGAGAAGATTGTTTCAAGAAGCAATAAACAATTTGTGTCAACAAGGAGGACACATCCAGAAAGTGATTTATTTTCTCTCACCGTGTCAGACTTGATAAATGTCTACAAAATTTAGGCTCACAACAACACAAGAAAAACATATATAATCATATAAGTTTGTAAACAACTATGAAAATTCTGTATTTTCAAAGGGATAGCAAATAATGTAAGACAACTAAAAAAGAAAGCTTTGATGAAGATTGGCCTGTCAAGTCTAAAAGCAATTGCATCACATTATTATGCAAACGCTAATACATTTATCCCATTAAAACATTCTTCCAAATTCACTTGAAGAATGAAAGACCNCAGTTAAAGAAACATCTACCGCTTAAATCAATCTACCATTCTCTGTTTATCTTACAACATATGCAACAACTCATAAAGTCCCCGCCCCACATGTCAGTCTTCAGAACGACAGTTTACTTGGTAGGAAGCCGACAGCAATTCCCATTTCGATAATAGCCCCAACAAGAAGAAGCGCTCCGCTCCGACAACACTTGTTAAAACCACCCAATGTCTCAATGGCCTCTTACGTTTGTTCTTGGTACCAGCAAGATCCTTCCTTATCTTCAACATCACATCTGTTGCTTCCTCCATTGTCGCCTTTCGGTTTTCCTCGTAGTTCGAGAGCTCTAAAGTCACATAGCTACCACTTGCATTGTAACCCTCTATCTCTAGCTTTGCTCTTACCACTTCATTATAAACTTCTTCACCGAATTCGTTCTTCAGCTTAAGCAGCTTCTTGTCGTTTTTATCAACCACTCTCTGCAATTTCACATTAGAAGAAACATTAAAGGAAACATTAAAGGTGCTTTTCCACAAGTTTCATAGCTTCTTCATTTGCTTCATTCTGCTCCCAAATAGCCTTTTGATTCTAATAACAAAGAAAATGGCAAGAGATTTTACTTGTCTTATGATCTTACTGTTCTATTTCATAAGGAAATTATACCATTTCTCTTTCGAGTCTGGATTTTTCCATCTCAGCTTCGTTTATGTTTGCTTGTTGCTCGATCAGCCTCGCAAGCTCTTCCAACTTCTCCTTCTTTGCTTCCAGTTCCGACATAGATTTCTCATGTCCTTGCGACACACTTTTCAAATCTCTCTTCTTCATAACATTCTTGCCAACAATTCCACTTCCATTGTAATCCTCCTCTCTTGCAACCCATCCATAAAGCTTCTCATCTCTAAAGTGAGCACCTTATTCCCAATCTCTCTTCCCATGTCTGTCTGATTCATAACTTCTCTCGAAACCTTCGAAATCTTTGCTGAATTCAACCAAAGCAAAACCAGAATGTCCTTTGAAATTCCAAGTTGGTTGGACTCTTGTTGGATTAAACCCTTTCAGTGTTAGCTCATCACGTAACGTTGCACCGCTTTTGCCTACTCTCCGACCAGTTTTCTCAACCTCTGTTGGTATGTTTGCAACAAGACCAACCCATGGCCACACGAATTTCTCTTCAGAACAATCGTTTTGCTGCTTCATCTCTGAGGAGGTCTCTGCCTTCGAATCTCCCACTGGAAATGTCTGTTTCTCCATCTAAGAGCTTCAATAAAAAGAGATTGGCTAATTAGATTTCATTTCCACAAACCATAATCAAACGCAGGAACCATGATAAATCACTACTTTTTTTGTTATATATATGTCAATGTTCAACCGGAAAAGAGGAAGAAACTTGCACAAGTTGAAGAATCGTTGCTTTTCATAAAGAAAAATCACCGCTTTCAGAGAAGAATCCTTTTGGGTTTTATTGGGAAAAGGTTGTATAAATAGATGATTTATCGATCTAACTTGTTAAAAACCACATTTTTAGAACAACTTTTATTGAGATTTTATCTAGAAAAGAGAAAAAACCTGGAGAAATGTTGATTCAAAGTTTTCTCAAGTGAAAAAATCAAGTTTTTATAACATCTACAAAGACACCAGAAAGAAATCACTTTTTTTCTCCAAAAGAACCCAGAAAAAACCCCTCTTTTTTTCTCTGGGTTTATCAGGTTGAGTGAAAGTGGATTATTCATGGCTTTTACCTGTGAATCAAATCACTTCTTAACGCTAAGAATCAAAGAAAAACACAAAGCAAAAGCAGATTTTGTTTCTTAATGAATCAGACTCTCGACGTTAAAAAAGAGAATGAAAAATTAGCAGCCATAATGAAGAAAAGAGAATGTTATTTTTCTTTCAATGTGTTGAGTGAGTCACAGAGATAGCGTG